ATATATATATATATATATATATATATATATCCGTTACCACATCGAGAGAGTGTTAGATATGCGCAGTAGTCTTTGCAGAGACGCTGATCATAGTAAGACGTTTCTTCTGATAGCACGGAGGTAGAGTCGAGGGGACGGCAGGCAGCAAGAAGTATCTTATGTATTTCATCTTCAAACGAGCGGAACCAGTTAACAGCTAATTACACTTCCACCATGCGCGCTGTTGTATGGTGGAACATGCGTGTCTTTTTGTTTACGGAATTCGTTTTTTTGTATGAAAATACGGTCACCGTTTAGTATCGTGCCTGCGTGTAGTATTAACAGAGGGCTACACGATCACAGGGGGGTACGTACGCATGTTCTTACGTAGAATATAGTGCGTGTGTGAGGAAGAGGGCGAGAACGTCGCACCAAATGGCGAAAGGGGAGAGGAGGAGGAGGAAGCTCTATGTTTGTGTTGGTCACGTGTGTATCAGATGTTCGTCTGCGCAGCGCTGCAGAAGTGATGTGTTTGTTCACCTGTAGATGGCGCCGCGTGCATGGCGCGAGTCGGAACGAGCTGAACCTGCTCGCATGAACTTGTAGTTTCAACTTTCCGTGAAGCGCGCACACACGTGGTAGTTGAACACGGTCTTTAGGGTAATCGAGAAGGTGCGCTATACTAGATCAGGGTGCCCGTTGTCTGAAACATCATAACTATTAATTTATATAGATTATCGTAAGTCTAAAATGTCATACATTTTGCTCGACACTTTATTGCTAAGGTTTATGACATGTTAGACTCATTATATCGAAAACTACTTCCTGGAGCTTCTGGCAGCGGGCACACCAATGTATTATTTGCAACCACGAAAGGAAGCTCGGTTATGGTCGATTACCTGTACGATATGATTAAGATAGACATGGCGCGCTTTGATGTAAACGTCACACGGTCAGTGTCAGACCGCCCGGAGTTACTAGTGGCACTCCTCTCCTTTGTTCTTTACATTTTACAAAGGGAATCATGTACATGTAAACTAGTTTTTGTCATCATTAATAAATATTGGTTTAAAACGTAGACGGTGGCGTCGATGGCCGGTGTATGTGTGTGTGTGATCTCTGTGTTTAACTCGTTACAATTACCTTATTTGGCGGAGCCACGGCGGCATCATGGCCATGCCTCCCTCTTCATCTACGAATCTATGCTAGAAGACTAGTAAAAAGCGTGAGTTAATCGTTTATGGGCCCGCATTTTACTTGTTACCCAAAGAGGGTTCAGTAGAGGTTTATAAATTTCCGTTGGAAGCACTAAAATATAAACGGCTGGACCCGGGCGGTGGAGGTTCACAGCACTCCCTCTCCCTCCTCGGTTGAGGTTGCTCCCCCGCTGCCATTGGTAATCCAGTAAAGCTCACGTAAACTTTCGTGCCGGATACGGTATAGCTAGCAGCTGTGGGTGGTGACCGAGGGCGTGAGAAATCTGCACGTTGGTGAATGCGAAATAGTATAATAATGTCACAGAGTAGATAATATTTTATCTTCTTTAGATATCGTCAAACGAACTAGTTATATTAGTTCAGGCTTGTTTATTTTGTGTGTAGGCGAATTGTGTATTTCTCCCATTCACATTCCTCTCCTCCAATCCTATTCACGCCTCTTGCCTTCCACTCCCCAATCCGCCTTCACTCTCCCTGCCCTCCCCTACTCCGCTTCTCTTCACTCCCCTCTTCCGCGTCTCCCCCGGTCGTTTATTTATAATATTAAAATTATTTTAAGATATTCAGACGCGAGGTATTTTTTCGTAAATAGCGAATACACTTATTGTTATGCTGCCATGCCGTTGCATGATATATACGCTTCATATTTCCACGTGAGTTTTTTTGGGAAGCTACTGAAACAGAAAGAGTACCACTTGAAGGAAACTTGTAACAGATTTAGTTATATCCACTCGCATTACATTCTTTATATATATTACGTCGTAGAAGTATGTGATAGCACAGCACGCATTACTTAGGCGCGAGTACGCGCAGGCCAACACGAACGCACGAACGCAGACGAAAATAATATGTTATTGCATATCTATCGCTAACCAGACGTTTTACGTTTTCGGAAACTGGTTGGTTGGTCAGGCTGAGAGTATATTTGCAAGCCTGTTGTGCTGCACAGCCTTGCGCGTTTACTTATGTCATTTTTGC